ATATGTAACATCAATGCTTCTCTGAGGCAATTATTTCTGGGTGCCGTATTACAAGATGAAATTTATACACATGACGCGATATAATTGAGAAAATATACATATATATTATCAAGTGCCTAATTATGAGCACATGCCTTGAGGTCGCCTATGAGCACATTCTCAGGCGATGTACAACAATTTATACTGACACATAATGATTAACATTGAGTCAGAATAAATTTGTAACATCAATGCTTTCTCTGAGGGAGTTATTTTTGGCTGCGCGTATTTACAGCTATGAATTTTTACACATGACGCGAACATAAATGAGAAAAATATACATATAAATTATCAAGTGTAATTTATGGAGCCACATTTGTGATAGGTCGATGGACAACAGCTCCAAGCGCGATGTACACAAATACTGACACATGAATATTAACATGAGCTTAGAAATAAATATGGAACATCAATGCTTTCTCTGAGGAGTTATTTTGGTGCGATTACAGAATGATGAAATTTATACACATGACGCATATATTGCACTAATAATATACATATATGTATCAAGTGTAATTCATTGCCGAACACAGCTTGAGGGGTCGATGGAGCACATCTCCAAGGGCGATGTACACATATAACTGACACATATATGATCAAACATGAGTCAGAAATAAATATGCTAACATCAATGCTTTCTCTGAGGAGTTATTTTGGCTGCCGATTAACCGATAAAATTTTACACATGTACGCGAAGATAATTGAGAAAATGCTACATATTTATTATACAAGTGTAATTATATCGAGCACATGTGAGGTCGATGCGGCGCACATCTTCCAGGCGATGCTACACATTATATATTGACACATAATGATTAACATGAGCTCAGAAATAAATATGTAACATATCATGCTTTCTCTGTCAGGAGTTATTTTTGGTGCGAATTACAGATGAATTTATACACATGAATGCAAATATAATTGAGAAATATACCATTATTATTGAGCAAGTCTAATTGTATGCAGCACATGTTAGAGGTCGCATTGGAGCACATCTCCAAGGCCGATGTACACATATCACTGAAACAGCATAATGCATTAACATGGCCAGTCAGAAATACAATTATGTAACATAATGCCTTATCCTCTTGAGGAGTTTATTTGGTGCCGATGCCGATTACAGATGAAATGTTATACACATTGACGCGAATATAATTGTATGAAAGTATTACATTATATATTATCAAGCTGTAATTTATGGGGAGCACATGTGAGGTCGATAGGAGCCACATCTCCAGGCGATGTACACATATACTGCATCACACTTAATGATTAACATGTAGTTCAGAAAATAAATATTGGAACATCAATGCTTTCTCTGAGGAGTTTATTTTTTGGTGCGATTACAGAATGATGAAATTTATACACATGACGCGAATATAATTGTCTGATAATATATACATATATTATCAAGTGTAATTCATGGAACACATGTTGAGGTCGATGGAGCACATCTCAAGGCGATGCTACACTATATGACACATAATTATTAACATGAGTCAGAAATAAATAATGTGAACATCAATGCTTCTCTGAGGAGTTATTTTGCGTGCGCAGTAAGATGCAAATTATATACACATGACGCGGATAAATTAGAAATATAACATATATTATCAAGTTGTATGTAATTCATGCCGAGCACATTGTGGAGGGCGATGGCGCCCACATCTCCAAGGCGATGTACACATATACTGACAGCATAATGATTAACATTGAGTCAGAAATAAATAATGCGAAACATCAATGCTTTTCTCTGAGGAGTTATTTTGCGTTGCGATATCAGAATGATGAATTTATACACATGACCAAACTTATAATTGAGAAAATTATAACAGTATATTATTCAAGTGCTAATTTATGGCGCCACGATTAGTGGAGGCGAGATGGAGACATCTCCAAAGCGATGTACACAATATATTGACACATAATGATTAACATGAGTCAGAAATAAATATGTAACATCAATGCTTTCTCGGAGGAGTTACTTTCGCGTGCCTTTACAGTATGAAATTTATACACATGAAGCCCAAATTATAATTGCAAACGAAAAATTACGATATATTGCCAAGTTAATTTTATGCGCAGCACATGTTTTAGGTCGATGGAGCACATCTCAAAGGCCGATGTACACATATTACTGCACACATAATGATTAACATGAGTCAGAAATAAATATGTAACATCAATGCTTTCTCTGAGAGTTATCTTTTAGGTGCGATTACAGATGAAATTTATACACATGACGCCGAATATAATTGATAGAAAATATACATATATATTTATCAAGTGTAATTTATGGAGCACATGCTTGAGGTCGATGCGAGCCACAATCTTCCAAGGCGAGCACATATACTGACACATAATGATTAACATGAGTAAGAAATAAAATAGTGTTAATCATCAATTGCTTTCTCTGAGCGAGAGTTATTTTTTTTTGCGCTGCGATTACATATGACATGTATACACATGAGCGAATTATAATCTGAGAAAATGCTACATATATTATCAAGTGTCAATTTTATTGAAGGCCACATGTTTGAGTGTCGATGCGAGCACATCTGCAGAAAGCGTGCTACACATTATACTGACACATAATGATTAACATGAAATCAGAAAATAAATATTGGAACATCAATGCTTTCTCTGAGGAGTTATTTTGGCTTTTTGCCGATTTACAGAATGATGAAATTTATACACATGACCAAATATAATGAGAAATATACGATATAGTATATCAAGCTGTCTAATTGGTTGGAGCACATGTTGAGGTCGATGGCGAGCACATCCTCCAAGGCGATGTACACATTATAGGACAATGGCATAACATGTAGTCAGAAATAAATATCGTAACAGTTAATGCTTTCTCTGATTAGTTATTGGTGCCGATTACAGAATGAAATTGTATACACATGCACGCGAAGTATATGAGGAAAATATACATATATATTATCAGTGAATCTTATGCGAGCCACATGTTGAGGTCGATGGGGCACATCTCCAAGGCGATGACACACATGATATATTGACACATAATGATTAACATGAGTCAGAAATTAAATATGTAACATTCAATGCTTTCTCTGAGCGGAGTTACTTTGGTTGCGATTACAGATGAATTTATACCATGAAGCAATATAAATGAGAAAATATACATAATTAGCAAGTGATAATTTACTGGCAGAGCCAATTGCTTTGAGGGTCGATGGAGCTACTCCTCAACGCGCGATGTGTAGTTACACATCATACTGACAATAATCTGATTAACATGAGTCAGAAATAATATGATGTAACATCAATTGCTTTCTCTGAGGAGTTATTTTGGTGCGATTACAGATGAAATTTATACACATGACGCGAATATAATTGAGAAAATATACATATATATTATCAAGTGTAATTTATGGAGCACATGTTGAGGTCGATGGAGCACATCTCCAAGGCGATGTACACATATACTGACACATAATGATTAACATGAGTCAGAAATAAATATGTAACATCAATGCTTTCTCTGAGGAGTTATTTTGGTGCGATTACAGATGAAATTTATACACATGACGCGAATATAATTGAGAAAATATAACACTATATTATCAAGTGCTATTTATGGAGCACATGTTGAGGTCGATGGAGCACATCTCCAAGGCGATGTACTAATATTGACACATAATGATTAACATGAGTCAGAAATAAATATGTAACATCAATGCTTTCTCTGAGGAGTTATTTTGGTGCGATTACAGAATGATGAAATTTATACACATGACGCGAATATAATTGAGAAAATATACATATATTATCAAGTGTAATTTATGGAGCACATGTTGAGGTCGATGGAGCACATCTCCAAGGCGATGTACACATATATATTGACACATAATGATTAACATGAGTCAGAAATAAATATGTAACATCAATGCTTTCTCTGAGGAGTTATTTTGTGGTGCGATTACAGATGAAATTTATACACATGACGCGAATATAATTGACGATAATATATACATATATATTATTCAAGTGTAATTTATGGAGCACATGTTTGAGCGGTCGATGGAGCACATCTCCAAGGCGATGACGTGCACATATACTGACACATAATGATTAACATGAGTTCAGAAATAAAATATGTAACATCAAACGCTTTCTTGAGGAGTTATTTTGCGTGCGAGCTACAGATGAAATTTATACACATGACGCGGAATATAATTGAGAAAATATACATATATTATCAAGTGTAAATTATGGAGCCACATGTTGAGGTCGATGGAGCACATCTCCAACGGCGATGCTACACATATACTGACACATAATGATTAACATGAGTCAGAAATAAATATGTAACATCAATGCTTCATATAGTAGCATATATATATATATATATATATATATATATATATATAATATGTATATGGTAGGCTATAATGTTAGGCGTATGCTAGGCGTATAATGTTACGATATGCGATGTGCCTTCGCATTGCACGTATTAGTGGATAATGTAAGCGGCGCCTCGCCTGGCCTAATTGTGACGTTGCGTGACGTCATTATAGACCTGGAGGTGTGACCACTGATCTCTATAATATAATCGAGATATATATATGATTATATTATAGAGATCAGTGGGTGTGACCCAAAAGATGCACCCTAATATTTCACTTTAATACATTTTTTAATCAATTTTTTACTTTTAATGTCAGCCTCTGCCACGAGGTAGCAGCATCGTCCAGTCATGTAATCGATTGTAATGCCGGCTTCTGCCACGAGGTAGCAGCATCGTCCAGTCAAGTAATTAATCGTAAATAAAATATTAGCCTACTTAAAATTAAAAGCGCAACACTAGCGTCACTCAGTGCTCTCAGTACACTCAAACCTCCAACGAAGTAATAGAAGAACAACAATCAAATACGAGATAGGCACGAAAGTAGTTAAAAACATATAATTCGTATATATATTTATGCGCCATCTAGCGGATCTCACATGAGAGCTCAGACCAAAATTCAAACATGGTTACTCCATCGGATAATGGCACTCTCGTTCAGCAAAGGAATGCAACCGAATCTACTCCTAAACGTCAAAGTAAAGCGCCTCGAGACATATATAATTATCCGTTGAGTCCTCTAGGTGCCGTTCCCAGAAATCCGCTGCCGCAGAACTGGAAATTACCTTATGAAAATTACGATCTAAATGAGGAAGATTTGCAACGATTGAGAAAGCTCAGAAAGGAGTCAGACGAAGCGCGTGAGCGCCAAAAGGCGCATCGACGCCATCCTGCTGTTGTTATAGATGAAAGTAAGGTCCAGGTTTGCAGGCTTGTAGTATCAAAAAGGCAGAGTAGCTGTAGCTTGTCTATGTCTTACTGCCTGTTCAGTTTCTAGATGTGGCAGTGCTTGCAGAAATTGTAAGTTATTAGGCTACTAGTACTAACAACATTGTCATTTATCCCGCGAACTGGTGACAGTGGTGGTGGTGGGTTGGTGTTGGTTGGTGGTGGTGGCTCGACCTTAGGCCGCTTAGCCTTAGCCCAAGGTTAAGCGGTCTAAGGTCGAGCAGGCACAGGTACTTGGCCGTTTCAATAATACTAATACCAGTAGTGAATAATTTCAAAGAAGATTGACACGTATTTCTGCCGTTTTTACATATGTTCCACTTCAAGTTTATGGGCCAAAACATTCTTCTCAAATCCCTGCCGAGTCGCATGATAGTACCTAACATTGATACTGAGAAGTGGAGCTGTTGTCGCTAGTATCGCTCAATAATACAATAATACGCCTACATGGATGTGACAACATGCAGAAAAGCCTGAATCAACGCAGTGTTTGAATACATTTTACAACGGTACCAGTGGTCGAAATAAGCGATGGTCCGGGGCCATCAAATAAGCAGGAGGACCATCAGATTTTCAGTCAATGGTCCGTAGGACCATTGAATATTTTGGTCCCAATTTACGGTAAATTTCTTGCACACCGCATTACCTTTAGAGAACAATTTGAAATTTAGGAGGACCATCTAAATTTCAAACTAGATGGTTCTTGGGACCATCTCTTTTTTTCTCTTTATTTCTACCCAGGGCTGAGTACGACACTAAACGGCTATAAATCTATTACCATACAAGATATGCAAATTATAGAGGTACAAATATATAAGCTCCAGATTGACAAGAATATATACGTTTGTGTTTTTGTTTCATGCCAATACTGACGGCATATCTATACAGTAGTTGGCTACATGCAGATGCAATTTGCATTGTCACTATATTCTGTGTGTGGAACTCTGACAAGTATAATAGCACAAATTCTTGATATATATCTTATATTAGAAATTTACAAGCTGTAACTTAATTGCCACAGAATGTTACTTCAGTACCTTACTAACTGCGCATGTTAACTAGAATGATAGCTAACATACTAATTTACGGTTTGGTCTTCTAGTAATACTGGTAGATCCTCTTGCTGACTGAGCATTGCTAGGTGCATTGTGTGTAGCTGTAGAGTAGAGAGAATGTTTACAACGATGATATTTCATTGTTTGTTTGATTCTATCTTCATCTTATCAGGAGTGAAGCAAAACGTTGTTCTTGATCTGATGGTAGTGATTAGTAGTGGGTAGATCACTCAACTTTGAGCATTTGCATGTGGTGTGTTGGCGTATTAGGTGTTCTTCGTAAGGCCAAAACAAAATATAGGTGTGGTTACGGTTTCCCGACCGACCCTATTTATTCCCAGCGACCCTAAACATTTTATTGTCAATTTTCTTTAAAGTCAAAAAAATATGAATTGGACAGTTCCTGCTTCAAAAGGCACAACGCAAATCCTTCGGACATGGTTCGTAAATAAAATATTTCAATAAAATAAAATGTTTTCCCTACCTACCTACCCTATTTTTTTTCGGCATGTAACGGTAACCACACATATATTTTGTTTTGGCCTAATTGTAGTAGTTTGTTTAGCAGTATTTGTCATTTAAGCATGCGTGTAGTAGATTATGCTTTTAAATTTATTCCTAGTTGAATTTATTGTTCGTAAATGGAAGTGGTTTGCATCCACATGGGCTGCAATTGTCTGTCTGCTTGCTAAAATGACATAATGTGGTTCAACAATATTGGAGATTTATCGTTATTGTAATGGTTTTCTTTCGCAAGTAAATTAATTTTTAAGGTCTAGATAATTCTTTGTTTTAAATGATGCTGGTGCGATATAGAAATACAGAATATATAGAAATACAGTGTTGCTGTTTTAATTTTGGTGCTTGAAGTTGAAATGTGGTTGAATGGGGCACACATGCAGAATTAAATTCTGTTTCTCTATATTTTTGCATTACCATTTTTACATTTTCGTACCCATATGCTTTGATTGGCTATGAGTATGAGGCCTTGAGGCTTAGATGGCTTGAGTGGATTTGTTTGACTGTAAATGCTTAAATCCTTCCCTTGTGACAAATTGTCAATGAGCTTGCTGCATAAACAATATAAACCTTAACGTTAGGCCTAACATTCTGGTTACGATAAATCTGCAGGAGCAAACGTAACTTTTTAGGGTTACATAGTTGGGCACTTTGCGAAGTCTCTATATATATATATATATATATATTATATAATCACATTAACGAATATGAAAAAGGAAGCCAATAATCACCTTATTGTGGTTTGGAATTTTGTATTAATTTAAGGTAAAATCATGGTTGAGTGTTGAAGGCCTCTCATCAGAGAATGATTTTAACTGAACTAAAATGAGTACATAGTAACATTGTACACCTGAGATAGAAGAATGAGATAGATGATAGACTGATATATAAATATACACCTGAATTTTGATCCAGCAGAACTTATTGGTTAAAATGAATGGCGGCTATGTATAAAGGCTTTCAGACAAATTAGTGCCCCTCTCACAAAATGCCAATCTCATTTCCTACCTTATTCTATACCTAATCTGCTATCCCACAGCTCTGCCCCTGTCTTTGAGGCATTCCAGTTATTGGAGAAAAGAATCCAAATGCAAACTAATGAAAGGTGTTGTATCATGTGTTTTCAAGGCTTATATTTGTCTTTCCTATCATCAGATAGCACGGCCTACACTAAGATCAAGGCAATGAAGGCACAGCGGGAGAGCGTTCGGTGGAACCTCCTGGCACTCGGTATAACGTTCGTTCTGTCGGCTGGACTTCTGGCATACATCTATCTCAAGTTTTTGCCCAATCTTTCAGAGTAAGTAAAATGGAGCAGATAGAACTGCGGTTTTTAGCTCGCCTTGACATCGTCAAGATGAGCTATTGCCATGGGGCGTTGTCCGTCGTACGTCCGTTCGTATGTCTGTCAACATTTGGCTATGGTCAACGATAACTTGAGAACCGTTAGACCCACATGTTTCAAATTGCATACAGTTGTTACTCCTATGGGAGAGATGTGAACGTCCTATTTTGGAGCACGCCAGTCGACGTACTTTCGAACCACACCCACTTTTTGGCAAAAATGGATATGGCCATAAGTCAGTTCAGGTTCAATGGATTTTGCTCATTTTTGGTATGTGAATGAATGAGGACTGGCCCCAAAACATATCACACGTTTTTTTTTGTTTTTTTTAATTATGCATATTAGGTAGATTTTGGCAATTTCACTATATGCATTTCAGTGTCTGCCTACGGTCAACGATAACTCAAGAACCGTTTGACCCACATGTTTCAAATTGCATACAGTTGTTACTCCTATGGGAGAGATTTGCACGTCCTATTTTGGAGCACGCCAGTCGACGTACTTTCGAACCACACCCACTTTTTGGAAAAAATGAAAATTGCCATCTAGATTCATTCGATGTTGTTAAATTTACTTACCTACCTACCTACCTAAACATACCTACGTGTAATATTGTGTTTTAGATTCTTCGTTACAGTAATTTGACTGGAATATTATATTGCTTTTATTTGCACGATAATCGAAAACCAAAATGGCGATCATTTAGGCGTAGCGCCATCTCTCGCCCAGATTTCATACTTTCAGATCTGAAACATTTATTTTCACATCAAAACTAACCCTGAAACAAAACAGTGAGATTTCTATTAGTATAAAACAGGGAATAAGGACATTTGATCACATTTCGGTCCATCATAAATGAAACACTGACCAAATTTGAAATATCATCTCCATCTTCTATCACACCCAAGGTGAGCTATAGTGTCATTGACACTTTCATTGGGTTTGCGGTGGATGCAGCGATGGTGACAAACTATCGGTAAAATCAGGTGAGCGCACTCGCGATGCGTGAGCCCTGGTTGCAGATTAGGGTCACTGTCAGCTCATAGAGTATCGCAGCAATAACAAAGATCAGAAAGTTGGGAAGGCACGTGCTGCCCTCTCTGAGTGCGGAGTGTGAGCAGAGATGCCAACCACTACGATTTATCCGTATTTTATACAAATTTCTATTCCTTTTGCACCACTACCCTTTTGCACCACTACGACCTACGAATTTGACTGTGATCGAAAAAAAAAATTATTTTGTCAATTTATTGTCATTTTTGACCCTCAGAATGCAGGAAATTGCATCTCAGAATCAAAAAATTTTCCGGTGGGCATGCGTGACCCTCGAACTACTCATTTGATGGCCAGAAACTACAGATTGCTTCAAATATGTGTTGGAATCTCTGTGTGAGCATTTCTCACGTTGACTGTCGCAGTGAGGAGAGAACGCACATCAAGGTGCCGCGAGACATGGATGATGCGAAGGCACTCGGCGTCGTGCTGTCTAACTACACCGACGAACACTACCGCCACGTCGTCACTGGATTCTTTCTCACCTACATCTTGTATCCTTTTATTACCAGGGTGCGAAATTAACGCGAGTTCGGAGTCAAATACTCCTTGATTTACTGTCGGACTCCCTGATTTGACATGTACGGGGGAGTCCGTGTGACTCCCTGAAAATTCTGCCATACTAATAACTAGTTCGTTCTGAACAGAGCACGGCCTCGCCGAATTACCGTATTTTTTCAGCTGTCCAAAGAAAATGGGGCAGACATGCCATCGCATGAATCTTCATAATAAGCACATACGTTATTGTTAATATCTTTAATTTTGAACTTCGGACTGCGGACTCCGTCATTTTGAGGGTAGGGAGTGTTGGACTCGCTTGTTCAAAAGTTAATTTCTACCCCTCTGCCTGTATTACTATCCTCCCCTACAGCACAAGGAGAGGACTTTGTGAGTCAGGGTGGTAGTGGCTAGAGCCAATGGTTGTTCTAATAGAATAGTGGGTAGGCTTCTTTAGCACTTACTCTGGCGTTTCAGACCTTCTTCAATTGATTTGTTTTTTTGTTTTTTTGATGTAACGTCGTTCTGTGGATGCCATAGTTTTGGGAGTTTAGATACAGCACCGAGCAGCGGGAGGCAAAAATGTGGTGCGTTTTATGCTATCCTTAATATGCATACAGCTTGCAGTCGTTTGCCATTCCAGGATCAATCTTCCTCAGCATCTTGTCCGGTTACCTGTTCCCGTTTCATTACGCTATTGTCCTTGTCTGTTTGGTGAGTCACATTTAATGTATGACATACTGTAAATCATTGCATTGTGGGTGGATGCACTGGGATTGCAGTGCATATTATCAGAAGTAGATAGTAGTAGTTGTCTGATATTATTTAGTAAAAAATTACAGCTTCGAATTTTGTTGTGGGGTTTTCATTCATCAGTGATAGGATAAATATTTAAATGTTGATGGTTGAGTTACAGAGAAGAAGAAAAGAAACCACTTTGGTGGATAAATATATTAAAATTTCATGGCTTCATATAACATACATACAACATTTTCTTTAGATACGTGATGTGTTTACGTAATTCTGCTGCATATTTTCATGTGGGACTCTTGAATATTTCAGTGTTCGGCACTGGGCGCTTCATTCTGTTACCTGCTCTCCTATCTCGTCGGGCGTCGACTTGTTTTAAGATATATCCCAGATAGGGTCACACAGTGGCAGGAGAAGGTATCTTTCTTCAATAATTAGCATCAGTTTTACACACGGGCATTACATAGAAAAATGTAGTTTTAGGATTGTGATATAAAACCGAATAACTTATTGTTATGCAGTGATTACAGGGATGGATAGAATCACACGATCGAAGCTGACAGTACACCGGTTTTCCTCCGAAATTTCTAACTGCTCTAAACTTAAACATGATGTCCAAGCAAACTAGTATCATTACCTTGTTGAAAGTAGAAGCGAAAGAAATGCAATCCTTCCACGTGAAGCGCTAAGTGATTTTGCTTTTGCTTTTGCTTTTGATAAGTGCTTTTGCTTTTGCTAAGTGATTTTGCTTTTGTTCCTGTAGGTGGCGCGCCATCGTCAGCATTTACTTAACTACATCATCTTTCTTCGGATAACTCCTTTCTTGCCGAACTGGTTCATTAACATAACCTCACCCGTCATCAATGTTCCGCTGTTTCCATTCTTCATGGGAACATTCCTAGGTAGGTTTGTAAAATTCGATGATTAGTAGATTAGTGGGAAAATTGCGAAGAGATATGGCATGTTGTAAACTTTGACCGATATAATTCCAGTGGTGCAACGATGTATACAATTTAAAAACAAGCCAGATAACTGTCAACGTATGCACATATATATTATTAAAAAATTCACTATTAAATTACTAATTTTGTGATCATCGGCAAATGGAGCACAATGGTAATGTCCTTATCACACGGGGGTGTCTATATTCAAGCCGGTACGGGAGATTACGGTACGCATATATTTGCTAATATATTGTCTAATCGTGCATCAATAAACTTAATATTCACAGAGAGTATAGCTAAGACATGTGTCTATAGGTATCTAGAATATATTATGCAAATGATCTCCCATCCCGGCTTGAATCTGTGAATATTGAGTTTATTGACTCACGATTAGTCAATATATTAGCAAATGCCAAATATATGCGCGCGGAAGTGAATTACAGATGATTAAATTTCTAAAATTCTAGATATCTATAGACACATGTCTTAGCTATACTCTCTGTGAATATCGAGTTTATTGACGCACGATTAGTCAATATATTAGCAAATGTATGCGTACCGTAATCTCCCGTACCGGCTTGAATATAGACACCCCGTATCACACGTAATGACAAGCATGATTATAGCTATAATCAGGATCAAACACATTGATACAGTTGGCCAGCAGACATCGCCCATTTCCATTGCATATTGGCAGTGAGTCTTATCGGGTATATATTATATCGAGATCATAAATTGGATCTCTAACTTGTATGCTGATATACTCTGATGGTACGGTAACTCATACACACACGCACTAACACACTCTGAATGCTCATGAATATAATCGGGAATATCCTTTGGTAATCCAATGGTTTGAACACCGATACATAAATCATTTGTGAGATCAGTTAACATGAAAATGGAATGATACACAATGAGGTAATAGACGTTTGACAATTAATACATATGACATGTTAACTATGTTGATAGATTACATATTTAGTTTAAAACCTTGTGATGTACATATTGAGTTGAATTTCTCATTTTAACCGAATACTAACACTTGCAGAATTTTAGCCAATATTATCTTGTGTGAAAAATTATGATTGCAACAGCTTACGTAACTATCTCTTGTATACAGGTGTGGCGCCACCTTCATTTGTCGCCATTCAGGCCGGAACAACACTACATGAGTTAACGTCATCACGTGATGCACTCTCCATCAGATCTGTCGTACTTCTCACGGTCTTTGCCACTCTGTCCCTTGTCCCAGTAATATTCAGACGCAAGCTGCAGGCGAAGATGGACTGATTGAGGTTGCAGGGAAATCCACATCGATGACAATAGCCGCTGCAATAATTTATGTTTGATTCTCCTGCCATACCATTAACACCTGTCGAGAGAGCAAGGGTGTAACATAGATGCATCATCTGCCAAGGCAATCACTTGTCCAGTTTTTATCTTGACTATAGTTCTTATACCATTCGTACCAGATTTAAAATGACTCTAATCACAATTTTATTGACAGCTATCCCTGTAGTGGTGAGTGCATTTGTATATAGTCAGAAGCATGGGTTTTAACATTGAGCACAGCATTTTCCAAAAGCTAAATGGCGAGGTAATTGTACACTCGGTATGAAGTGCAGATGCCTATTTATCAAATGGTGGCAATGATCTGAATCAGAATATTATATCTCAATCAGATCTTTCATGGACTTGTGTATCTGTAGCACACTGGCAACCTTTACACATGACGCGTGCTGGAAGTTGTGAATTTTATCTTCTTGGAAAATCCGTGATGAATTGTCGTGTTGATTTCATATCATGATACTGTCTTTCTATAGTGGTCACTGCTCAGTACAAGCGGTGAGGTCTTTGTGCGTGTAGGCAACATGTGGGCCTATATTTAATGTGTGTTTAATTGTTAGCATTTAAAATTCATATGATCATGTGGTAACTGCCAATTTCCATGGTAACACTACATGCACAGTTACAAAAAACGTAGAGAACTTGACATAGCCCAGAGAATGGCAGATACGTAAAGCCTGTTGTTTGAGTACTCTACTTGAAACATTCCCATTGTGCTTGCTAACTTTGGCTTATCTCTGATCTCTGATCTGCTCTCATCCTCTATCTCTCATCACCAATGCATTAAAAATGTAATGTGTTAATTCAATGTTAGTTTTAAATGCAGTTATATATATATATATTGGGTTGTTTGTTCGTTTGCATGCTGTTTAGTGTATAACCACTCGTTGAAAATCACAATGGCCAGATCGTTTGCGCAATCTATTCTTTTTGCTTTTTGTCAAGAAATAAACCAAATGCACAAACAAAATGATCTTTTTGCCTACATCATCTTTGCAGGGTTAAACTACAGTGATAAAAACTGTTTCCACAGACTGGAAAAATGCCTGGGCATTAAAGAAACTCAAATGCTGTTTGAATACATTTTTAGTACATTTATACCAGAAAAAAAGATGCGAAATTGAAAAGGTATGGCTTACCTTGCATTTAGTTAGAACCATATTCATTAATGATGGTTTCTTTCTAGGTAGCCATGTATCATGACATTTTGGCCTGTCTGTAATGGAGTGGGACGTACATTCATAATTCATCGATTTTTTACATACACAAAATATTCTCGTCATTGCAAAAACTGTCCGTAATAGGTTCACGGGTAGAGGCTGCTAGTTGTATACCTACCGCTGGTTGGAGAGGAGAATAAGGTTCTGGACGGCGGTTATGGTGGATGCTTCATTCTGACCAGTAACGAGGTGCCTATCTATGACCACATGCATGTTATCACATCCACTCGCTGCAATAACGATGGGGGAGAGGGCTGTTAATTTTACAGTAAATCATATCTGTATTACCTAATACCAAGAGTAGATAATAACACAGGTTATTATCTACTCTTGCTAATACTAAAACGGAATTTATGCAGAGTTTGCGCTTGACACAGGAGATGCCGTCATCCGTATCACATTGCAAATCCCTGTAGTATGGGTTTTACCCTTTTCAATTATGATGTATAACTACAAATTCTATAACGTATGCACTCACACACACAAATTACAAGTTGGATAAAATAGTTCTAGCTATATTACCACTATAGGTAGCGCCATGCTCTTTTATGAAGTCTTCTGTAACGATAGGGAGAATAGAGAAGTCCATTCCACGTGCTAGCTCAAAAACAGATGGCTGTAAGGAGAAAAAAATGGCTGTAAATTTCATCCAATATATTCATATGAAAAGTCCATCGTAGGGTTATCGATGTTGATTTGCTACAGGTTGCTTGATATCTGTTATAGACTACCTGTACTTACAGCAGTAAGGCAATACTTGGTGAAACTCCAAGTAGAGTTTGGTTTCTCCATAGCACAGCACAAGGCAGCCACTCCCATTCCTATGGCACAAATTGGTTCTACAAAGACACCAAGTCAATATAATTTCTGTGGAAAGAAACTGTTCGGCAACCACTATTTAAAGACAAGCAATGTAATCAGTGGGTCTGTAGCCATGCACTCCACATTTACATAAGCATAATATATTCCAGGGTTCTCCTCAGGCCTTTAACACATGTTGGGTCAGACCCATGCCCTTAACACATATCATTCACAGGCCCTCCTGCATCCGTCCAGAAATGGATTTTAACATATCTTCTGAAACTTCTGGGAAGAACCTTGTATTCAATCTAATGCTGCGATACTTCTATTATGCTGACATACATACTCTGTTGAGATATGAAATTGTGGATGACTGAGGCAAGATCCTTGCTATTGGCGAGATCATGAGCAGCACCCAGAGAATGGGGTATCAGTAGTACCTGGTAGCGGCGTGCTATAAAAGAATAAGAGAAGCAGCATTACTTTTGTGAGAAAACTTCCAACACAAATTCCTCACTCATTACCATTTGATTACAAATATCTTCATAACGAATTCTAAAACTGAGAAATTACTAAATAGTAAATGTGCATTTATAGGTTTCTTGGTCAATATCTTCAATAGATGCGTTGTTCAAGCAGAACCATTTCGCTTGCCTAAAAATAGCAAAAATAGTCAAATTCCCAGTATTGCAACAAATTATAGCCCTTATATAATAAATATTCATGCAAGATAAAATGAGCATAAGACAACCATTCAGACTATACAATAGCTATAGACATACCATCAACTGAACTTAGACTAATGGGAGTTGCAAAGGACTTTGTCTTGAAGTCTGCCAGCCATCGTCTGCCTGCTTCGTCTGTGCTCACAAACTCTGCTACCTTGCCCTGAGGAGATATAACATTTTATGATACACTATGTGATGATTCAGTCTACTGAGTACTGTTATAGTTTTCACTTTTGCTATTTCAATCGAATGATGGTTAATTTGAGCAAACCTGTTGAGTCGCCAAGTCTACATGGAATGCTGTACTTGCAAGGGTGAAGGACTTAATGAAAGACTGTGCAGAAACACCTATATGAATGACAGAAAATGTCCAGGTATAATTGATGCATTAGCCATTACTGTGAATATATCTGACAGTCAGATTATCCAATTAAAGTACCAAGATAAACAGGAATCAGCTTAGTATGGGTGCGGGCATTTGTCACTGAAGCTGGTGCGATGGAATAGCTCCTCTGCACTGCAGCTGTTATGAAAGTCTCAATGCCAAAACACTCTATGGTAGTAAAAATAATTGGCCATGGCTACGCGACCGGTTCCGGACGAGGAGCCGCTAGGCTACGCGTCCGGACATCCATCTCACACAGTGATCTTTCGACACATACATGCATGATTGCGCAACGGGACGCTCTGCTGATTGCCAAGTATGTGTGTGTGTGTGTGTGTGTATGTGTGTGTGTGTGTGTGTGTGTGTGCGTGACACACAGAGAGAGAGAGAGAGAGGGAATGTGTATATGTGTGTGTGTGTGTGTGCGTGTGTGCGTGTGTGAGAAAGAGAAAGAGAGAGAGAGAGAGCTGTGTGTGTGTGAAAGAGAGAGAGAACGAGAGAGGACGGATGAAAGGATAGACGGCAGCAGTGCATATATTGTATATTTACGGCAATCAGCAGAGCGTCCCGTTGCGCAATCATGCGTGTACGCAAGTCGCGCGATCACTGTGTGAGTGGATGTCCGGATGCGAAGCCTGGAGGCTAGGCGACCGGTTCCGGACGCGTAGCCAATGAGAAAATAATTTGCGTTTATTTGCCATATGATTATTTTATTATTGAAACTGACCGATGTCACGTGCTTGGTAACGTATCTTACTGTATTGTAGCTAACGCTATTTTTGTATTAACATGTTTTCTCTATGTAACTAATAGCACTCATCGTGTTAGTTATTTTTGTCAGTGTACCTTCAATTGCCGAGCTTAAAACAATCAAGCAGTTTGGCCTCTCATTATGATTAACTACGGGCGCAGACATATTGTGATGGTCCGTACGAAAAGGTGTATGCGGCTTTGCCTGCTACATACACATATATAAATATAAATATATATATATATATATATATTATTGCGACTATTAAAAATATTATATTCATATGTAAATTATATTCTCGGTCTAATCTTCCGGTGCGATACAACACTATGCGGTTTATGCGGGTTTTTATCTGCAGGAATAAACATGGCGCTGGCCGTAAACATAGGCAGTTTGTTTATTGAATTACAAATATCATTACATAGTAAAAACGTGATAAGTGTTATATACTTATGGCGACAGAAAAGTCATTACAGTTCGTGCGCATCTAGTGCACACATTATCTTATAGATTAGTGGAATACTAGTCATCTTTCACTTGCAGTTACTTAGACCACAGACACTGACATAACATAAGGCTATGCGGCGCGCTACTAGGCCTACTGTACTACTACTAGTACTACTAGTATATATACTACTAGCTCTAGTACTATAGCCCGCGGATCGCTGCCGCAGGGCTATAGCACATTCTGCCATAGATGTAATCTAAGCAAATGGTCCAACTGATGTGACCAAAAATTTATCCCCAAAACGTAAAATGATCGGGCTTTTTAACACTTATCTATCAACATGGACATCTCACCTATCTTTTTGAACACTTCCACAACTTTACACCAGGTATTTATGCTGTTATTCCTCAAAGTCTTAGCACTGAAGAGTCACGCGTGCACAGATAAGCATAGATACAATAATGTAACCCAAACCCAAGAGGATAGGGTTACAAAGTGTCCCTATCCTTTTCTGCGGAGGAATGCCCGAGTGAATCACTCGGGCCGGTTTGCTGGTGCGTTTTCAGATACTAGAACTTCCAAACTGGGTTTATTCTAAACAGGAACCTTTCTCCGCTATTCGGGAACTTACAATGTATCGCAATACTCTGTATTAAACTAATATAACCTGTTACAAAAATTCGAAGTGACGAGCGGCGAATATACTGAGCGCCATTTCTGTTGACCTGTGACGTACGCATTTCCCAATGCGCATAGCGATCGGCAAACGCAGCGCCCTCCGATTGGTCGGTGAATCCACTCTTCAAACCGAAGTACGTCACAGGTCAACAGAAATGGCGTTCAGTATATTCGCCGCTCGTCACTTCGAATTTTTGTAACAGGTTATATTAGTTTAATACAGAGTATTGCGATACATAGCAAGTTCCCAGATAGCGGAGAAAGGTTCGTGTTGAGAATAAACCCAGTTTGGAAGTTCTAGTATCTGAAAACGCACCAGCAAACCGGCCCGAGTGATTCACTCGGGCATTCCTCCGCAGAAAAGGATAGGGACACTTTGTAACCCTATCCTCTTGGGTTTGGGTTACATTATTGTATCTAACATAAGCAGAGCAACCGCATTTGAAAACAAAACACCAGTAGTGCTAAGACTTTGAGGAATAACAGCATAAATACCTGGTGTAAAGTTGTGGAAGTGTTCAAAAAGATAGGTGAGATGTCCATGTTGATAGATAAGTGTTAAAAAGCCCGATCATTTTACGTTTTGGGGATAAATTTTTGGTCACATCAGTTGGACCATTTGCTTAGATTACATCTATGGCAGAATGTGCTATAGCCCTGCGGCAGCGATCCGCGGGCTATAGTACTAGAGCTAATATACTACTTACTAGGGCTGAGAGTGTCTATGCCCCCCAGGGTACTGCCGGAACGTACCCTGGTACTATCTAATATGCCTGACCGTACCTCGCCTACTCCACTAACGAGTCTAGGGAGTTGCCTACGCCTACTCCCTAACCCTAACCCTAACCATATCAGATAGTTGCCAGGGTACGTTCAGGCATAGCCACAAGTTCCCTTCTTGCTTAACACTACGTTGGCGTACGTTGGTCTTACGCAGTGTAACAGTCGGAGAGCCTGGTCGGTTTAGTTCGGGCAGTACCCTGGGGGACATAGACCCTATGAGCACTACTAGGCCTAGTAGTAGTAGACTAGTAGTACTGTACAAGTCATTTTCGCAATGTGCGACATGTGCAAATGTGGACAGCTCTTATATCCTTGGGCCGAAACAGTCGGCCTCAGACAGTAAATTTTAGGCATTTTGGCCGTTAATTCATAGACTATAGTCACTATAGTAAATGAATACAAATTTTATTTACTGCCAAGACACTGCCGCCGGCCTTTGAAGTTTGAGAATGAATTTTGAAATAGTTTAGCATTGTTACTAATTATATGAATTGTTTAGTTTACAGGTCCAGGATCTGTTACTATTCATGAAATTGCTCTAAATACGTTTCTGGAACGAAACGGTATTTGGCGACGATCAAGAAGAGGGTGCGTATAAGCACATACATGAATCAAACCGGCTCGATGACATCATGGCTGCAGTGTTAGCATCGATAGACGTACTCCCGGTGGCAGGACTAAACGTGAGCAATAGCACGGAGCAGGACTTTGAATATGACGATGCAGTGTTCAGGCCACATGTCCACATGGCAGATAAACTGTGGGCCGTCGGTAGCCTCCTGCTCGTGTGTATCGTCGTCCTATTTGCCGTGTCACATTCGCAGATGTGGAAGTCACGATACTATGACGTGGCAACACCCGAGGGTGTCTTCAACCCTAACGAGATTGTTGACACGGAGAGCGTTGCAGGTATGCGTGTACGGGGGCATCAAAATGCTATTTTTAATTGCCACTACTTGATTTGTATTACAAGTGAAGAAATGGCCAGTTGCTAGCAGCTAAGTAGACCCGAGCAATAAACTCATTAGGAGAATGTGTACGTTTTTAATTCAAATATGCATGTACATGTTTTGGTTTCAGTGCTCATTCAGAAAAAGCTGAAATATATCAGACAGTTTAAGCAGAAGTGGCGAAATCGGCGACAAGCGAAAATGCAAGATTCGAGAAGTGCTGATGAGATAGCGGTGTTACTTCATTCCGGGATGGATGATGACGATGATGATGAGGAGGATGAGCTGTTTTCCATAAACCTCCTCAAACAGCTCTAGCATTGGTAGGAATTCTCATAACCTCTGATATCAACTTAGGGACCATCTTCGTAAAATAACCGCATTCGCCACTTATGTATATATTGTAAATCATCATAAAATGTCATTGCTTGGTGAATGAAAGCATAGCTGACCGCTATGAGGCAGTATCATAAGTATTATAAACAGTATAAGTACTATATGTTGTAGGTGAATTTCACTGTTATAAAGAGAACTGCTAATAATGAGGGTTACAGCAGCTCTTGGATCTGGCCGGATAGTTCCTGGCAGAACCCCAATTTTTCAGAGTTACAGTTTCAGCCAAATTGTCCGTCAGGTCTGAATCTCTACGCGAAAAATATGGCGTATACAGTAGTTGTCCAGAACTCTAACTTATTCCTAATTTTATTTCCGTTGCAAGAAACATCTTACTGGCAGGCAATTATAGGTTTAGCATTATACTTCTTGCCTAATTGAACTCCATGAATATCTAAAATTACCTCTATTAAGGGAGATTTTCTCTTGCACTGAAAGCAGTGTACTCATACACCTAGGAAGCATCTTGTACTTAGAACTTCTAGCATAGTCTTTACCTGCCTTGTGCATTGTCATGTTGATTTTCAGTTAAGGTTCCTGTTTCGGTTCCGGCTGGAACTTTAAAATTCAGATCAGAATCAAAAGTTTTACAGCGTAATAGTAAGGTCTTTTTGGCACAATTACAGGCCTTTAAACTTATATATGGTGGAGTCTTTTGAAATAAGTGTGTGACACTTGACTATCTAGATGCGACTGAGTGTACTTATTGATGAGATGAAAAATACTGATGAATTTTATTCTGTGTCTGTGCCAAATCCTGATGCATGATTACATCTTGATTGGTCTGCTGCATCTTTGTGAGTTTAATGTACAAACTGTGTCAGGTTGAAGAATTTGCTGCTGCCTACTGTGCAGTGTAAATCAAATATAGAGCGTTAGTACTAGAGCTGCAATGAAATGCCTAATCCACGATACAATATATATCACGATATTTGGGCCATAATACATTATGTATTAAAACATGGTACATAATATGTGCAGTTATTAAACCTTAGTAATGCTCATAGGGTCTATGTCCTTCAGGGTACTGCCGGAACGTACCCTGGGTACAGTCCGGTATACCGGAACGTACCCTGGTAACTATCTGATATGGTTAGGGTTAGGGAGTAGGCGTAAGCGACTCCCTAGACTCGTTAGTGGAGTAGGCGAGGTACGGTCCGGCATATTAGATAGTAGGGGCCGGCAGTACCCTGGGGGACATAGACCCTCTCAGCTGTAGTAATACGATTGGCTGAAATACGTAACAATGGTCAATCATCTTTCTGAATACAGCATCTGCACATTCCTGTTATGTACGTTACTTTTGGGAAACGTTCCATTTCACGGGAATAAAATCAAAATTTGTGGGCAGTGATTAGACCGTGAATATGGCATTGTCAAATCACCATGCTCCTTTTATGTAAGACGAAAACATAGACGATACACCCGACTGAGATTTTGACAACATCACAAAGGCAGTAATTTAACATGGAAGGTTAAATTTTATTTTAAAGTACCAATTTCCTTTTGGCATATGGTGGTGTATTGATGCTCACATGAATCTGTGTTATGAAGCTGTATCGTGATTTGTAGCCTAGACATTGTATCGCGAATAATCAAATCATGATTAATTGTTGCACCACTAGTAGGTAGTGTGCCATATACATATCAGTGACAGTATCTGTCAGAGGTAGGGGACAGTGATTTAATGGCGAATGCTTCCTAGTAATGTGCTGTGTAACTCGCCGAGTGTGCCGATGCAAGCGACTGGCTACCATTTGGCGAAAAATGTCGCTGGCGGCATGGGCAGTATTTACCCGTCATTTCCAGTTGGATCACGACATCTTTATATGCCGCATGTTTCTTAGTGCGATTGCTGTATTTCGGCAGTGTAACGTCAAACAAAACCGGCCTCTCCATCCACATATCTAGCAAAATGCTTGCTTTCTCATCACTCCAGCTTGTTGCTGTGAGCGTAGACATATTGAAATATCACGTGATGAGATGGTGCTCGCTGATTGGTCGGACGAAAATTTGTCATCGTTTCAAGTCGCTGCCTACCTGCACACATGCGATTTAGAAGCGATTTCGGAGCGACGAGTTGCTGAAAATCAAACATGTTTAATTTCTTGTGACTCGTCGCAAGCGACCAGAATCGCAGTCGCACGTTCCCGCAGATCTAGCGATTTCTCATGCGACTCGACTGCAATTCTAGAATCGTAGCCGAGTCGCATGAACAAGTCGCAAGCCTGCGCGGGGCTTTATCAGCTGTACACAAACTTCAAGAATGCGTCCTTCTGATTTCTCTTTGAGGTTGTAGTATGGAGCTTTCAGAGCATTCAGGTTCTCTTCAGTGCAAGCAAGAGAAATCCGCTCATTTGTTGATGACGTAACAAGAATAATGCGCGGCATATACGCAGACTATGCATGTTCCGTGTTTAAGTTGTGATTAATTGTTAAGATTGTTAATTATATCGGTATTACTTGTATTTTATATTGCTATATTTTTGTATAAAATCCTGTGTCAAACTATAACCTGTTTTTCATTTTACTATGTAGTTACCAACAGATGGCGCCACGAATGTTCCAATGTTTGTGCGACCGGAATTTTCAATGTGGCTACCGTCTAGTAGTAGCAGTATCAACGTGAGGCATTTGTAAAACGCATTTCTTTATTCTAGAATATAAACAGTAAAACGCAGTGAGAAAGTGGGTGCGCATTTAAAAAAAACTCGCTCTCAAGTGATGTACTAAATCTATAGACGCCCAGTTTGACAGATATTTCGATGTTCTTTATCGGTCGGTCACCTTTATATCCTTTTTTACCAACTATCACGATTTTTCTGAATTGAATTTTCATGCTTCGCCTTCTTCGCGCAGATGACAGTAATCTCATCTTGGCATTGTACCCATGCAACCCGTATACTGAACTACACTGTATATAGGATAAATATAGGTTTCGCATCTAATGTTCCATTCATACAACGACTACATTCATTCCCGGTCCGCTAATAGGGTGTACCATTGTGTGACTCGGTACTGTTGGGGGAATAGACTACCTGTTTGTAGATGTTCACATTAGTGCAGATTTGCCTCCGCGGGGGCGGGACAGTAGTTTTGGGCGAGTCAGCGTGACAGAAACTGCATAGTGTCTGTAAAGCACGCGCGTGCATTTTATAGCAATTAGGTTAGGTTATTAGTTTTACAACAAGCCGCTATGTTACACTAAATTCAAGACTACGCAATCCTAATCTCATATAATGTTCTGAGCAGGGTTACGAATTCTGAGTTTATTGATGAGCGTTTCATCGTCGTAACAACGCCCAAACCGCGTGCGATGTTAAGCGGCTTATGAAACTAGACATCGGCATAAAAATATTAAACCGCTATACGAGTGCTCGGTGCTGCGCGCGTGTAACAGGGAACTATAAGCAGTAACGGCATCCCCGCAGAGTATAGATATTATCATGACAGATACAGTCGCAACTACTATAGTGGCTGTATTCTTCAGGTCGTGCGCACAGCTGGACGATTGACCGTGTATTCTATATATGCGTTCAGGTCGAGCCGCGTTCGCTGGTTTACATGTAAAACTGCGATGACACGAATACGCGCGTATCTTTTTAGGTCGCCAGTTTTGTTCGTAATTGTACCATTTGTGTGTGACTCGGACTTGAAACCGGCCACTGTGCGAACGAAATGTGTCTTACATGCTCGCGGGGTGTTTTTCGTTCTCTCTGTCCGTCGCAAATTCACTTAACTTCTTGCTACGACCAAACCATTGGTTTTAAAGCGCTATAAGCGATCGAGTGCACTGAATTTAGGTCCATCGCAAATGCCGTAGCAATGAAATGCTAACTAGGCTACCTTGGGCCTGTCTAGAGTTCGTACATTCCTATTGGCAGATGTTTATTTGTAGTTGTGTTGCGGCGTTCCCCCCCCCCGTCACATACAGATACCAAGTGCCGCTGGGTGGGTCTCCTCAGTTCGTACATACGTAATTAACACTGATACCCCTTTTCGCTTGATCAGGATTCTAACGGTTTAGAGATTGTCATCATCTGGAGAAGTATATATACCTATACTTAAGCCTCCAACATGAACATGAGTATCGCATATTATGTGATTATGCCTTTAATGACGAGTGAAATCGCGTGGTGACGAGTTTTGTCGTCGGGTTCGCTCTCGGTTCGTCCTCGCGTCCGACTGCCCGAGAAAGTTTTGCTATGACAATATATTTCTACATTGTGTGGGCGTATTCACATTTGCAAATTCACGTCTTGCGAATTCATCTGGGAGCAGATTCGCGCGTGTATTCCACGTGCGTGTATTTTGGACTTGAGCCAACCCTATACGAAAAGGACTGACGCAGATTTTGATCTTTCCGCGGGTAAATACCGAATTGTGGGCTTTGAGTAAAATCGGCACCAAGACAAAATCCTTGACATCAAAATTGTCACATACATATATACTCTTCAGGATCTTCGTCGTCACGCCGATCAAAGGCTGACCGTGCACGCACGCACTCGCGCACGCACGCACGCACACACCCACACACATAATACAAAACACTTGCGCGCGTCTGCTTACAAAGGCAACGTCGAGATCCCCCGCCCGCGGCCATCTCCTCCGCCCTCTCTTCGCGTCGGCTCCACTCCCCGCCGCACCGCGCGGACACGCCTCGTCGGCTTGTCTCCTACGGGGCGGGCGAAGAGAATGACTCGTTTCGACTCATCCTCTAACAGGTTTCTGTGTTGCACGCACGCCTCGGGCGGCAATCGTCTAAGAAGGAGCACGAAGGGCGAGCGCGTCTGTAGCGACATGCGGGCGCTAGCAAACACGTTTACGAGGACGTCATGCCGATGATGCGAATGCAGGAATGTGAGCTGCTGTCGGGGTGGTTACGTTTCATTATTATTTACGTCGTGTTGTTGTATGCGGGCCGGTATAGATGTATGCACATAGCTGTAGGCGAACATTAGTCGTAGCTGATAGTTGTTATTCCAAGAAGTCTGTGGGATCGTGATTCGGTTAGGTGCGCGCGCGTTCGTGGGATGATGATTCTGGAAAGAGGATGTTAGATGGAACTGTTCTAAGTTCTATGATATTGATGGTAAATAATAATCCCGCTGTAAAACACGCTACGACCCGCTAGAGGCGTTCGTGCGTGCGTGGATCGGAAGAGCGGCATGTATTGTGTGTGTGCGTGTGTGTAAGATGTGTGTGTGTGTGTGTGCGTGCGTGCGTGCGTGCGTGCGTGCTGTGTGTGTGTGTGTGTGTTGCGTGCGCGCGCGCGTGTATGCATGTCTTGTGGTTTTTTTACCAATGAATCACCATATTTTGCTTCGACACACACCGTTCTCACACCTTGGCTGAGATCGTCTTGATACAGTCGAATGATATAATATTATCGGGGCGTAACATTAGCCCGATGATTATACACTTAACGCGTTCTGTCTCTTACCTGCGTGCATGACTCATCAGCCAGCTCCCGCCTAGCTGATCCATGACGCTGTTTCTGCAGGAGCGGTTACTGAACGCAACATCTCAGACCGAATAGATACGAGATAACAACCCGCTGTAAGAGAATGCACGATATGTGCGACGTCAACGAATACGAATACGCATTTACAATAAACGATAAACGATTGTTTAAAATTTACAATCATAGAGTATTTGTTTTATTATTATAAATTCGTATTATACACTGTATATAACAATTATATGTTACACACTCAGCAATGTATTAGTTTGTTTATAAATCAATTATGATGTCATGTTCGTCAATGAGTCATGAAAAATATCTTTGAAAACTACACCACTTGTAAGTATCTCCAGGTTAATCGTTTAAAATAAATCCCAATATTTGTCATCGTTTGATTTCGCGATTATATATCTATGTATATCTATACACAATTATTTTATGTACAATAACTTAATTATCTGTGAAGTTAAAAATACACCAATACAAGACCAGCATCATAATCATATTTTCAGAAGTGTATAATATCAAGAGCGTATAAAGAGGTAGGAGCTGATCAATAATACTGCAAAAGAATCGTCAAAATAAAAGCGGGAAAGTTAT